TCTCGTGTAGGTACCGCTATTCCCACATATCGCGAGCGCTGCGTGCACTTCAAAGCTCGCTAAAAACGTCGCTGCGAATTGACGAGGAGGGCTTGCTTAGTATGCAGTTTATGATGCCGGCACCGCGCAGGCCGGGTGGGCGTCGCTCCGAGGCATTCATTGAGTTCTGGGTGAGTGTGCATTGTGGTATTCTAGCGACCCTTGGCTGACGGAGTCGTAGTGTCTACCCCTCGAAGACTCCTAATCACAAGCTGCCGCATCCTCTTACATTTTTACTTGGTAACTTGGGGTCGTATACTGTATCCGTAGCTGTCCAATGTATTTCTTGCTGCATACTATCACGCTGATCGAGATGTTTCGCATTGCATGTTGTCGCGCAAGGTCAGTAGTACCAATCTGGAATGTGGCGAGGCCAGCGTTCACATGCGTGGCGTCGACATACTCTGGCCCAGTGGGAAGGTGGACGGGTTGTCATCAAGCGTCGCGTTCGAGAGTTGTGCACGGGGATGGGTGTGTCAACGCGCAACGAGTCCCTGAACGTAGCCAATGCCTTGCACGCAGGCCACTGGTGAGCCAAACGCGGAGTCATATGAGGGAGAGACGCCCCGCGCAGCCCATACGAACTTGATGCAAGGTAGGGCAATGTTCTGTAAAAAGCGTTGTGAAACAACCTTGTGATGCGTTAAGCGGCATATGGTAATCTATTAGCAGGTCGTGGATATACATTAGATCAACCCATCTATGAAGGAGACACTTTTGGGCGTCGAAGTCAAAGCCGGGACGGGGGTGACCGGTTTCGGCTTCGACGGGGGCAAGTAGTCCGCAATGACCGAGTCGAAGTCGGCCTCCACCTTCGGGACTGCACAGTCGGATTCTGGATGAGCGACCGTTCGCGAAGGATGAAAATGAAAGAACAGACCTGCTGCGGCGCGCGCCTTCGTCGACGCCTCGAGCATGCTGCCGACGATCAGTCTGCGGATAGAAGCACCATCCAGCGGCGCGACATCCTCCTTCTTCTCGACCTTCTTGTCCGTCTTGACGTCGGGCGCGGGGGTCTCGCGGTACGTACCCGTTGGCGAGGACGCCAGGCCAAGGTGCGTCAGAACATCGCCCTTGGTAAGCATCCCGCGCACACCGGTACCCGTGATTTTCTCGACGGCGTCCCCAGAGATGTGGTGCTCCTGGATAAGTCGCAGCACCGAGGGGAATAGCCGGCGCGAGGTCTTCGGGACGTGGAACTCGGTGGGGGGTGTGGGCGCGGACTCCTTCGTGGGGGGCGGCGAAGCAGGGGGCGCGCGGGGACAGAAGTGCGGGCGGAGGCGATGGAGACGGTTGCGAAAGTACCGAGTATAATTTTTGAGATGAGAAGTGTACAGAACACGGTCTACAACGGTAGTACGCGACGGTGGGGCCAGGGACAGAGAGTGGCGCTCGGGCGGACTCGCTCTGCTAGCCGTGGGCTGGGTCTCTGGCGCGCAGCCGCCGCATTTTGATACACATGAGACACCCAGAATCTCTGCCGGAGCGCGCCCTGGAGACACAGCTACAGGCGGCGCGGCAGGACATCTTGGTCGTGGACGCAGAACGAGAGTGCGGGCGCTTATTAGCCGATCTCGACGCGGAGGAGTTCATGGGCGTCTTGCAATGCTTGCTTCCTGCCGCCGTCTCCGGCTGCACATCTCGTCCCGCGCGCGGAACAACAAGGCACACGACAACAGCTCGGCCATCCTCGTACGCGGTTCCCACTCTCGCGCGACCCCAAGTACAACGCTGATCTCGTCTATCTAAGCCAGATCTCCAGATCTCACGTCGTCACGACCCATATCCTTGGTGCACCCAAGCGGTTTCCCCCTCCTCGAGTGTCGCATCAGCGGGACCTTGAGAACGAACGCATCGCCAGAATACGTACCGGGATCTCGCGAGGCTGGTTGGACTCGGTACCGGCCCAGGATTTAGGCGCCAGGCCATGTTTGCATCGCGAGGTTAGTATCATCATCTTCGCGTGCATGCCTCGACACTCAGACAGGTAATTCCAGCGCAGCAGGATTGGGGACCAGTGCTACGAGGAGGTGAGCACCCAATTCCTCTCCACGTGCACTCGGGCGCGCGTCTCGTACCGCTTGCTGTCCGTGAGCAGTCGAGATCGCGCGCAGTGCAGAGGATCCTCGAAAGATGTAAGTTTCTTGAGCGGATTGTCGCGCCGGCCGAGCCGCTCGTAAGTGAGGGAGCTGCCCGTCACCTGCACAGGTCCCGCCGCTGTCGCCGTTTGACATGGCGGGCACTCTGCGGACCGGCTCTGCCGCCGCGCTATGAAGGAAGAAGGTCAGTCGGCATTGGCAGATATGGACGAATACATGCCTTGGGATCACAGCTGCTCTCGCCCTCGACGTGCGCCTTTCGGTTTCTCTTCCCGTCCTGTCCTCTCCCGCCCAAGCCTCCGCTCAGGGGGGCCACACACAGGACCTGGGGCATGTCCTAGAGATCGAGGGGTAAAGTAAGAATGTCGTGCTGCACCGGGAGATCAGCGAGGCACACGAGAGCACAGCGGCGATGTCCGCGCGCGGCCTGTACCGTAAAACATCGTTTTGTGCTGGCGCGTCGCGAGCACGCTAGCGGTCGGCGGCAGCGTAGGTCTGTTCGACGTGGTACCGAAAAATAGTAGTGTGCATGTTTGAAGTGCACGGCCGTATTGTATGCGCCATTGGTGCATATGCGGGCCGTGACAGTGCACCAGTGAGTGATTTGGGGGTTGTCAAGTGGGGATCATCAGCACGACTCGCCGCAAACTTGGAGTGCTTGTTTGTGCAACGTACCTTCCTTTCCCGACCTTGCGCGCGTGCGCGGGTATACCTCGAACAGTCTGTCGTACAAGTGAGTGTATCCTTTGCGGTGACGGGTCACCAATGCGCCGCCATCTTCTAGGCTCTGTGCACAGACTCGGTGAGAAATGCGGAGGGCTTGAGGGAGGGACATACATTCTGTTTCTTGCCCTATCCGGGCGCGTTGTTGACGGTCTTGCAAGGTCTGAAGCCACGATACAGAGCGACAGGCATGTGGGCGGTGAAGGGAAGTCGACAAGTTCGGTGTACGTACCCCTGTTTCCTGTCCGTCCACGGTTTGAGCCGAGGCCCGATCTCGTCGTCTGGGCGGCACAGTGCAGGCGCAAACCTCCGCCGATCTGTGGCACAGGTGCGGCCATTGGCGGCGGCTGCCATCCACAGACTGCAATGCCCCCGGCTGCTGGTGTTCCTCCCGTACGTGATCCCGCGTTACCAGGGTCATCCGTGGGAGGACAGCTTCCCGGGTGCCTCCCGCTCCTCTCAGGTGAGTGTCCCTGTTCTATTAGTGCTACATTCTGGGTAGAATATCACTCCTGTTGTACTGTCTGCATGTATCAAGCTATGACCATGTTCGCTGTTCAATAAAGTCAGTTTTGCATGTGTGCTGAGCTCACAACATACCATCAACGTCATTCAATCTCCGCAGCTTAGAATCACTAAATCAGACCCATGTGTCACCTTCAGATGGCTCGCGGATTGCTATGGATATCTAACGTCACATCCGCTTTTTCGGCATATCCAGTGTTCTGGCTCTCCGTTCAGTTCTCATGGTGTGCATCACTCCGCTTGGGCTCGCAAGCGGCGACACGGGCCCTGGATTACTCGGATCAGCACTTCTGCATTCCCCATTCGCATCCGGATGGAGTACGAGTGGGGGAGGTAACAATATGAGCAGTAGCACTTGGCTGCTCCTTCTCACATGGCTACCTCCAACCTTCCAGTCCATTTCAGCTTGCAGTAACATATCTAGTACACATGGAGACTATGAAAGACATATTCTACCATGTCATTTGAATTTTCGAGCGCCACTACCACCGGCGGGGCCGGGAGCAAACACGTGCAACACTGTATCCGAGCGGAGTGTCTCTGGTGAGAATATCTAAAATCAGATTGGTGTTGCTATCGCACGGTAGTCGCAGCACCTGGGTTATCCATCAAATACACGGGTCCCTGCAGCAGAACACGCGAGCACGACAATAGGTTCCGTGCGCAATCGGCATCGTAGTGGAGGAGAGACAAGGGCGAGGAACGCGCAGGGAACGAGAATCGCGGATTCTACGAACTAAGCGCCTGCTCGCGGGCGCAGCCACTCCCGAGTCCCGGGCTGCCGTCCGGTTTGCCCAAGTTATGGCGGTGGTTTCGTCGACTGAGAGTAAACATTTACTGCAGCTGAGTTTAAGGTCGCGAAGGAGCCCTTTTGTAGAGAAAAAAATCCACCCTGATAAAGCCTGGCTAAGATTTCCAGTCATCCCGACGAGAGGATCCAGAGACGCGCTTGGGCCGCTGCCGCCTCCGAGAACATATAGCAGAACACATTCGAATTAGACGAATGCACCATTGATGCAGCCTACCAGAAAGCGCTAGAATATTAATGAAAATAGCGTAGATCTACGGCCGAGAGAGCGAACCCCGCGAATATTTCTTGCAGAGCCTGGGTCGTGGTGAAAGACAGATGAGCGCGAGGAGCGTGGCAAACGAGAATCGAGAATCAAGCGCCCGCACACGCGAATCGAATCCCCAGTTTGGCAGCCGCTCCTCGTTCGTCCTTTCTCCACTACCACTACTTCCTCTGTCGTCCGCCCATCACCACCGTCATGGGGCCGCCTTTAGCAATGAGAGATACCCGTTATGAATCTAATAGTGCAGTATATGTGCCTATTGAAGGTACCGAGCCCCACGGCGGCCACCCGCACAGTGTCTACATCCCCAGCCCCGGCCACGCAAGCGGAAGACAGACGCGTGAGTCGGAGCTGCATAAGCTGCATGACATTCGAATCGGCGACTCTGCCCTCGAGCTCAGTGATTGCCTCTGCGTCGTCCATTGCTATCTCGGCCGACTTCGGCCCGTCCTGTTCGTGCCTAGGTGGTAAGTCGTTTGAGTTTGAATTTGGGCGGCGGCGATGCTTACCCAAGTCGCTACGGATAGCGCTTCGGTGGGATGCCACGGCACAGGAGAGCCGGGGCAACTAGGAGGGGGTTCCTCCTCGCCGCCTCGAGTTCGGCCGGGTCCATCACTGGGACAAAGCGCATAGAGCCGCTCTTCCAGAGCTCGAGGAGGCGCAAGATGCGCTCCTTGCCCGTGATGCGGCTGAGATCGTCAAAGACAATGTCATCGGGCCAGCCGACAAGCTTCACGTGGTACCGCAAGACGACGCCCGTGCAGTACCATTTGATGGCATACGCCATCTTCGCGTCCGGGATGCCGGTGACATTCGCTGAGTCCATGTCGGGTAAGCTTGAGTGTGTTTGTGCGGAAGTGTGCGCTACTCACAGAGCCCGTGGCCCAGAAGAAGCCTGAGCTCTCCCCGCATCTTGATCTCCGCTCGAGCATGTTCTCTGCGGAGGGCGCCGCTCAGGGTGCGAGGTTCAGTCATCACGGTCAACGACAATAGCTAGCAAAGCAAATATGAGCCCTAGCGACACAGCGAGGAGACAGTACGTACTCTGTGTTGTGTGCTCACGTACAGAATGGGGCTGACCGTTGAAGTAACAGGAGAAGGCTCGGCCGGCGGTCAGGACTACTGAGGTATGTACAAGTACACTCCGAAAGCGAAGTAAGTTGGGGACGATCGTCAGGTTAAGTCGAGGCCGCCCTTCCACTGCGTCCCTCTCCAATGCGCGCCCCGTGCCCCATTCAAGCGGGCACCGAAAACGTCCCGAGAAGCACAGCCGGCTGACGTTGTCTGCCGTTATGGTGAGTGGCCTCGGCCTCGTGCTCAAAACCTGACTGATCAATTCTGCTGCAGTCCCCCGGAGCGCGCCACCTGCCATCTTCGTCAACAAATCAGCCATGTCCAAATACGGCTGCATCGTCTTGGAGGCACATCGCATATTTGTAAGGCTCCAGTACGCGATGCTCACACGCCCGCACTGCACCTCAGTCGGTCTGTTAAGTGGATCACAAACTGATTAATCAAAAGTCAGGTCAGCAACTGTCGAAAGCGACGGTCGGGCTTGCTTCGTAGTGTACCAGACAGACAGTCGGGACTCGGCTCCAATGAGTGAACCCGGAAGAAGGTACGCTCTTGCCAATATGGACATATTTAAAATCCACTGACTTTCCGACTTACAGGTTCTGGATGGGCTATTTCCACACAGCTCGTCTGATAGCACAACGTCTATCTCGGGAGCTGGTAAATTTCGGGTATGTGCGATCATGGTTCCCCATGTTTGCTTCGCTAACACGCATGCCTCAGCATCTGGCGCCGAATTTCGTGGATGATTAGGCCGGTACGACTACGAACAATCTATAATGATACCCGATAATGCTACTAATTGTCTCACTCGTCTACTTCAGGCTGGGTCTGGACATGTGCACGTCGTGGTCGAGCCGAACCCAATTTTGGGGTGCCCTGTCCCTTGTACATGGTGAGTGTTTCTATGGGGCTGCTGCGTCGTCGTGGTCACGACATTCAAGCACCTGTACCGCCTGCGTCTGTACGGTGATGGGATCTTCCCAGCGTGTACTCGCGCCGACCGCGCCGGTGCTCGTCTCCCGCTTTTGACTGGTAGTGACGCACTCACAGCCGTCTCTGCAGACTCGAGAGCGCAGACGTGCATGGTGATACCTGTGCGCTTGCTCAAAAGCGGCATGACAAAGTCCGAGCACTATTAGTCTCTCTACCGCTCGCGCGGATGAGCGGTGCATCCCGTCCACAGTCTCGGGTGGACTCCGCGTGATGTGTACGGGGGCGAGATCTGCTGATCTGTTACTGTGGTGGGCAATTCCCTCGCTTTCTCCGTGGGTGTGCCGCTGTGTTACAGAAGACGGCACGCCGGAACAGAAGGCGCGAGGATAGGCTCGAACGCAGCTGCGCGTTGATGGGGCAGCCTTCGTACACACCCACGTCGGCCGCTGAAATTGCTCGCCTGTGCCCACGCTGTTCGTGTGGCACGCCTCCTGGGACATCTACCGCCGCCCATTCTCTGGCCGCGTCCGAGTCTCGCCACCCATGCGCACACAAAGCCGAGCGGGATCGGTGCATGGCACTCGCACGGCGTTCACGCGTTCAAACGTTCACGCGTCGCCGACACTGTTGCAAACGAATCTCATCCGAGGTCGGATAGGGCCTCGCCCGGGTTACTACCGTTTCCTGCACCCTCCAAATACGGAGCCCGATACTACATCATCATCTCGATCACGGTAGCGGCCCTGGACAGAGTGGGGACGTTGTCAACAACGCAAATCACGAGATCGCACGCTGCTGTCACTGGCCAACAAATGTACGTATTCAGGTTGCTGTTGTGTCCTGCCGTTACTTCGCTAACCAGGACGTTTCAGTTCCTAGCGTCCCGACGTTTTCATACGCCGAGATCCCCGGGAGTTCGTCTAAGTTCTACGAATTGCAACGAGCCCAGAATGCGTGCACCGGCCTACGGGGACTCAGACGACGGTAATTGCGGATACATCAGTAGAGCTGTCTCGAAACTAACAAACTCGCTGGCTGAGTGACAGGCTCGGTGACGTACAAGCGGCGAGGCTGCATCTAAATTGTACGTTGTTTGGCTCAGATGTGGCAAGAAGCGTTGACCGATGTACAGGAACCTCCAGGGGACACACCAAGACACATACGCGAGCTACGACACGCTCTGATCAGCGGAACAGCTCTATATCCTCAGAACTCCTTCTGGATGTTGCCGTGCGGTACTGATGGTCCAGACGGCCCCACAGAGCGACCCACTGCGCTCCTTCGGTAAGTGAGTGTATTCTAAACCATTATATCGCTCTGAAACACAGCTACTTTGCAGGTGAGCGTCCGTACAGCCCCGGCCTACCAGTCACTCGGTCCACAACGTATTTCCGCACCCGCCCGTCCGGATATGCATCACAACGACGGATCGTTGGCCCCCTACGGCGGTGAAACAGCCGTGGGCGTATCGGCCACTTTCGGGGGCGAGCAGTGCGATTTGAAGGTGCACATGCTGGGTCGCCTTGCCCACGATGCGGTAAAGAACGAGTTTGTACCTCTTTCCGAGTGGTAAATTCCTGTATTTGTGCTCGTTGAGCCCGTCCTGGTTCAATATATATTTTCCTCTCTATTTCCTCACCTGTAGACGAGGCTCTGGATTGCACGGCTTCGCTTCGTTACCCCGTGAGGTACGAACATGACACATGCGAACAGATCGGACGCACGGGGAGCTGCCTACCGGATAGTTTCTTCGAGGGGCGCGTTTGGTACCTTCGAAACACCAACAGAACGACCCACGAAATCCCAGAAACACGTTCGCGAGATCGTCGAAGTGCGCGCCCACAGCCCAGGCGATCATTCGTTAGCTCTAGCAACCGGCAATCCTTCGGGAGCAGTCTGCTCGCGCCCGTAATCTCCGTTCGTATACTCGCATACGACGCAAATCAGGCATGACGAAATATATTGGGCTACGAGTCATGCGCCTACAGGATCGTATATTACACGGGACGTCGCACAGCGTCCTTGCAGACGCGAGCACCACGACACCGACCCGCACGTTCAAAACGGACGCGGGATCTGCGAGGGAAGCTGCCTGGAGGACGGAGGGCTGTCGCGCAAGCAGCGGCTGACTTGTGGTTCGCGTACGATGGATTCGGACGTTCCGACGGACGCTGTGTACCGCTCCCCACGCCTGTCACCAAGAAGAAAGACTCCGGGAAGCGGCAGCGCGATTGACGCACCCGAGGCCCGTGCGCGCGCGCACGGAGACGCGCCAATGGTATCTCGCGAAACGAGTCGGGGGCCGCACCATGGCGATGTGTCTGCGGCGTCGGACGATCGCGAGCACCATGGAGACCGCCAGGTGTGGTACACACACGGTACGCGAATTCGCGGTGTGCACACGACGGCCCTGGACGCGGACCAGGGGTCTAGGTATCGGTCGAGTGCGGGTAGTGGCGACGTCGAGCGCACGCGCATGCGCTCCTGGGCGCAGGAGGGATCCACGTCTGATTCTGCGGCGGGCAGCGCAGACGGTTTCGGGAGGGCGCTGTATTGTGCGGGCGCGTGCATGCGTGTGCGCGGGGAGCACGATGCTTCGATGGCGTGGGCCTTGGGCCTGAGGTTGTCCGGGAGGACGCACTACGAATGTGTGAGCCGCGAGATAGTGCCACTGCGACTGGAGAGACGTACCTATCGGAGGACACGGTGACCAGATGCGGGAATAGCGTGTGCTAGCGAGGAGACGTGTGCGCGCACGCCTCCTCCAAGTAGGCAGGCGCAGCGTCGAGGTCGGCACAGGCCTGGACAGGAGACCTGGCGTTCGCGAGAACATGCGCGGCCTTCTTGCGACGGTCAGTCCATCGCACCCGCATCGCATGGATGTGCCGTGTACGCACCTGCGGAGCGCGTCCCTGTTCTGCCGGGGGTAATGGCAGAACGTCCCAGCCGCGAGAGCTGCGCGGGATTGGGTGCGGCGCGCACAGGCAGCAGCGGCGGGGCGCGGACGATGAGGGTGGGCTGAGTGCGAGCGATGTCGGGTTTCGAGACCCGGCTTGTGACTGCTGTGTGCGAGATGTGAACAAGACACCTCCAGGAGATGTGTCGGATGCTTACTCCGTGTCGTCGGGCGAGGCATGCATGTTACTGTATCACGGAGGCTTAGACAGAGGCCCAGCTTCATGGACTCAGTCGGCGAACGTGAACTTCGCCCCGGGGCGTGTTCCAGACACATTGGCCGCAAGTGCCGCCTTCATCGACATTGTTGCTAAAGCAGCGGCCGTACGTGAACTTGACGGAGTCTCCGCACCAGCAGCAAGGATTCCCGCCGTGTTCTCGATGCACTCTCGCGCCGCTAACAGAATCGCGCGGCCGTTTTCTGTGGCACTTGCACCAGACGCCGTACAGGCCTCGGCGCGACACCCGTCCTCGAGCCCGCAATGCACACACCTCAGCGCCATGATTCGCACCCAGCGACGGCGTGCACGCACCATCCACATCCATCCGCTCCAACCCATCCCCGGCGCACAGACGGGCGCGGCGCAGTGCCCAGCGCGCGATCCGGAGCACCCGACTCGCCCGCCCGCCGCACACGGCGCAGACCCAGCTCCGAGTCGACGAGACGGCCGGGCAGCTGCGCCTTCTCCTGCTCCTGCTCCTGCTACGTACGAGCACACACGCCCAGCCGCGATTGGGCGGAACGCACGAGGGGGCGCACGCCTGTCGGGGCACGGTTGTGACATGGACAGCCTGAGCGTGTGCGCCGCGGCGCGCCGTAGGGTGTGCGCGCATGGGGCTGTCGGCCTCGCGAGTGGCCTGCCGCGCGCGAGACGTACGCTTGGGGCTGTGATTCGTTAGGGGACACGAGGGGCTGCGAATCCCAGCGTGTGCGCTGATGTCGATGTGTGCTCTCTAGGCACGGAGTCGCCGCCTGGCGTGTTCGCCGACGTCCATCCACACTGCGGACCGTGTCGTCCGCGCGAAAGCACCTCAGCCCGACGTCAATGCGTGTTCGCGGCGCTGCCAGTCCCCGATGAGCGGCGGACATCATGGGCTGTACCCCGCCATCCTCTATGAAGTTGATGGGCGTGCCTCCGAGTCGACGTCTGACCATCCTCCAAAATCGCTCGATAGCGCAAGGACGTGGATTGTGGACGTCGCAGATAGCGCGGTGTGTGCTCGGGACGACACACGCAGGACACACTGGCGAAAACAAAGGCGGGGGCGTCACCGTCTATTCCGTGAGCGTACACGAACACAGCACGCTGTGGGACAAGTCCTAGCCGTGCTGCTGGGCGTAGAACGAAGGCGAGAGGGCAGATAGGGCGCAAGAACACTCCTGCACACGAGCATCGTGGGGTTCGGCACGGCGGGGCGCAACGAGCTCGGCACCACGGGCGCAGCTCGATGTCGGGAGGGCGACCGCGAACCTCGACGTCGTGGAACGTCGCCCACGTCGCGTAGTTACTTCCGCGCCCCTCGCGCTTTCGGCGTGTTGCAGCCTATCGTGGGTCCTGCCGTTCTGAGTGTCCTCCGCGCGCGTACCGTCATGACCGCGGGCGCCGCGTCGGACCTGGCAACAAAGTCCGGGTTGCCCAGCAGGGAGACACGGTCTGCTAGCCCTGAAAATGCCTAGTGCGCACTAGATGCGTACGCTACGCGGCGGGGAGAGGGCTCGTCGCGGTGGGTAGACATGCGAGCGCGTAGCGAAGGACGCGGAGCGGAGATGCGGTGCTGCTCTCCGTACGGTACAGGAACGATCGCGAAACGCACATCGAGCATCTCCCAGCGCTCATCTCGCGCAAGCGGACGCTAGGGTCGTGCGTGGGATGACGACGAGAGACGCGGGCGGGACGTTACGAGGGCGAGGACCGAAATGGGGAGGGATGTACGTACATTCCGACCGTCCAGGTCGCTGAGGGGGCGAGCCTGCCCGGAACTGAGGAGGTATAAGAGGGTCAGCAAGACGAGAGGAGGAGAAATCAACAGCCACTCCTGCTCACTGTGCTTACCTTCCTGTCTCTGGTTAGTATTCGCCCCGGGACGTTCGTCACCGTCGGCGGAAGCAGGTGAGTATGCCCACGCCGAGTGTCGACGTCGGAGATTCAGCACTCATGCTCGACCAGCAGGGCCGTCGCTCGACATGCGCAGTGTCTAATGACGAGTAAGTGCTTCATGTTTACCTCTGTATATGCGCGTCGCTCACGGTGTGTATCGCAGTGCACGGCCAGGACGTCGTTCACGCGACGAGCCGGGCGCTAGACCGCTCGGGAGAGTACTGTGGTGGTGAAGGGGCGGCGGTAAGCACGTAGATACGCAGTGTATGCGATCAATATGTGTACATACATCGTGTTATCGATGCAGGAGCGACGGTTAGATTGTACAGGACGTGGCGTGCGGGCCGCTGCACGAGGGACGGGACAGGCCCTGGCAGAGCAAGTCAAGGGGACGGGACAGCGCTCTAGCGGAGAGCGCAGCGCGCAATTGAGGTGGGCCGCGCTGGATTCAGGCTCGAGAGCAGGTCAAACGAGTCGAGCATCGGTCGAGCAACGGGCGAAGTCACGCGTGTGGCGCAGACGAGCAGCCAATCACAGGTTGGCAAGGTCCTGAAACGAGCGGTCGAGAGGGTGCGAGGTGGCTGAGGAGAGAGATGGGAAGCAGCGCTGGACGCGAGATGGCGGGCGAGTGCAGTGGCGTCCCTGCCGGCCTCGGTCTACCTCTTGCCCTCCTCTCGCGCGTGACGTCACCCGCTGCACACACGCACGTGCGCGACCATCCTCGCGCGTCTCTCGCGTCCCTGGCACGCGTCTCAGCCACAGCAGCCACACCCCGTTCTCGCTCTTCTCTGCTTCCCTCCCCTACTGCCCCCGAACGACGCAGATAAGCACGTTGTTTGTCTCAAAAGCACCACCGCGAAACCCGATCTTTCGCGCGCCGGCGGCGGACGAGCACTAGCGGGACAAGGCAAGACAGTAGGTGGGACGCCCTTTGGACGCCCTGCACCCCAGAACCTACCATGGCGGAGGAGCAGCCCAGAGTGCGTCTCTCATCTCGGCACACCCGGCCATTCCAGCACCAGAAGATCTCTGACCAATCGTGCGCCCAGGTACTCACCGCTTCCGTGCACGACTTCAGGTACTTCGCCGCCCTTCTGCGCGGCGTCAACTTCGTCAACGTAAGCTCTTCCCTCTGCCTTATCTCGCCCGTTGCTGATCTCCCCCTCGACGTTCTCGATCCCGCAGCGTGCTAGCGTCTCTATTACCGCCGACGGCTTCACAGTAACCGTCGAAGAGGCCAGATGTCTCACTGGTGAGCGTTCTTTTGGTCCGCGATGGATCGCAGCAGATGGCTCGTTTGGGCATTCTTAACGCGACGCTGGATATGAAGTCCTCGCGTGCGGTGCCGCCGTGTCCGGAGCTTCGCGATTTGACCGCTATCTTCTCGGCAATATCACTACCAAAGGTTCTTCCAAGCCGCCCGTAGTTGTGGTCGGCCACTCAGGTCACCGGGCTGGGCCTGCACGTGTATCCACAAGTCGTTCGTGCTTCTACTGAAATCGATTGACCCGGAAACTGGTCGCTCGTTTCCAGATAGGTGTATACAGCCGTCGACCTACTACGTAAAATGCGCGTGAGTGGCCAGGCGGTTCAATGTCCATAGCCAGCTTGTTCGGTTCACCTCTAAGGTCGCCGCATAGAGCGCTGAGAGGGTTAACTGATAGCATATACGAGCACTCGGCTCGT